TATGTTGTACTTAATTTAAATTTATCAAGAATTAAATCAGAAAGCGGAGTCGGCAAAAATCGAAATTACAGGTTTTTGCTTTGCAACTCTCATATCATCCAATAAATTTGTATCTAAAATATTTTGTTTTTATGCACAAGTTTTTAGAATATAATTTGGTCGTTGACCTTTATGAAGTTTTAAAAAAACAGTCCGGAGCCCGAATCATCCGAATTTATGGTGATGTAGTTCAACTCTCAAAAGACTTAGAAATTTCAGCCTTAGAAAGTGATTGTGTTATATTAATAGTTGCAAGGAGAGTTGAAATCAAATTAGGATGCCAAATTATTATTAATAATGAGAAGGAAATCAATTCTTTTAAACTAGTGATATATACTATGGAGATGCCAATAGGCCTTAGCGTTTGTATGAAGTCGACTGGTATTAATAAGCTATTCAAAATTAATAATCAATACATTGGTGGATCACTTTCTCTACATAAAGGAGATTTTAGTAATATAAAAAATTTTGATACTAAAATTTTTCAAAAAGAGTCATTCAATAAAGTATTGCAATTCTCTTTACAAATTGCATGCACTTTATTTTATGATGAACCGGAAGTTGCGCGGTCAATTTTTACATGGATTGATAAAATAACTAAACATTCTCAATCAAAAGAAGTGAAGGAATTATATCATCATGGATTAACAATGTTTGAACAATCTAAACTTTTAATTGAAAGGAGAAAAACAAAATATCAAAGATCCTTTGTTCCACTTCTTGATAAGAAAAAATTCTATGAGCGAATTGAGAAATTTATGAGGACTGCAGAATCTTATGAAAGAAGTTATACTGAAGTTTTAAGTAATAAACATATTAATAAAATAGAAAAAGAAAGATTAGAATCATTATTAGTTAATTGTAATAATATGACAAAATCACATGAAGATTTTGAAAGAGATGAAAATGGATGTTATCAATCAGCGATTAATGTAATGGAAGAAGCAAAAAATATTCTTAAGGTATGCTTTAATGTTCTTTTTATATCGAATAGAAACTTTAAAATAATGTATATTCTTGATATTAGAAAAGAAAAGATGAAGTTAAATTTAAACGAATTAATTTCGAAAGAGAAATCGAATTATGGAAGGATAAAATGAAATCTCAAACAAATAAAGAATTGATAATTGCTATTATTGAATTGTCTTTATGTGTTGGTAAAACTGTTATCCAGCCTATTGGCATAATCGATTTAATTGAAACTGTAAACAAAGTATCAGATTCGATTAATACTACCGCTAATAACATAAAAAAAGTTACGGAGATGGCCAATAATATTATACTTGCTGATGGATTTATCCTAGCGGAAATCACAAGAAAAGTAGATGAAATTAAAAAACTTGAGAAAGAATCAGAATGTATTGGAGATAAAATTAATAGTTCAAAAACAAATATGATGACAGAAAGTGAAAAAATTGAATCATTAGATATTGATTCACTTACAAAAATGTAAGCCTACAATTAGATCACTAAATTATAAAAATAAAAATAAAACCTAAGCACTTTAATATTATTAGCCTTGAAACCAATGATCAAAAGGGAGTCCTGATAAATGCCGAATGGAAGGTAATCAGAGACCAAATGGAACAATTACTTAAATTCGTAATTATATTTATTTATACTATTTTATATGTTTATTAAATAAAAACTGTATCACTTCGATATACAGTCAACCCTCTATATAATCACTTAGTTGGGAGCATAAGAACTTTTTTTAAAAATGTGCTTATAAAGAGATTG